AAAAAAAAAAAAAAAAAAAAAAAAAAAAAAAAAAAAAAAAATGAATAACAAATTATAAGAAAAACCCAAATTGTTATACCCCGATTTCCCATTTCAATGGGCTTGGGGTATACCAAAAATGGAATAGAAAGCAAAACCATGTGAAAGAAAGAAAAACTCGCGCTGCTGTTATACGTATTAATCACACTTAAGTTAAGCTCGCAAATAACTGTTGGCCGTTCTGTGTCTAGTCGAGAGATCCCCAGAATTGGCAACGATATCCGAAATAGAACAAAGCTCCAAATTGTATAGGGTTCGCATGGATCTATATGCAAAATATGAGGACTCTAGCTTTTATAGATACTGAAGACAGACGGATGATTTCCCATGTTCCCCATACAGGTGATTCCCATGTTGCCTGAGCAAGATCTCTCATATGATACCAAAACTCGGAATATAAAGGAGCCAAGGCTGTATGAACAAGAGTATTTGTAGACGTCGAGAAACGATCAACAGTTATTTACGAGCTATGAGTAATACAAAATATTATGTTTAAAAACAAAATTAAGAAAGCAAAAAAATAACTAATAATGTCTTAATTTACATTTATTTTTTACATATTTTTGTAAACTAATTTTTTGTAAAACACATTTTATGAGTAAAAAAAAAAAAACTGTATACTTAAACTATAATTTTAATTTGTAATTTTCTTGCTTTTATTTAATTAAAAAATTTATATATATAAATATATATATATGTATATGAATATATATATGTATTTATAAATATTTTATAATATTACTAAAAATACATATTAACAAAAAATATATTTTTTTAAACTTTTTGTGGTTTTACTTTTATTTATTTTTTACTGAGACGCGGGCGAATTTTTGTGGTTCATATCAATAAAATAACAAATTTTAAACAATTAATTCGAACTAATATATATATATACATGTATATATATGTATGTATGTATGTATGTATAGTTTATAGTTTATCTATGTAAATGAGAAACTTGCTCAAAATTACAAAGAAAAAAGAAAAACTGGAAATATTATTCTTGGTAAAAATAATATACAAAAAAGAAAAAAAAAAAATCTTTTCAGTTTTTTTATATTATTTTTTAATAGTTGAATTTTTTAAATGTATTTAGTTTAACTAATCACAACTAAATTTAACAAAATCTTCTCTAAACTATAAAAAAGAAAATACAATACATATATTACAATTCTTGATAATAAAAACACATATATGTATGTATGTGTATATATAATTCATGTGAAACAAAAACAGAACAAAAAAAAAAACTGAAAATAATTTAGTTTTTATTGTAATTCCGTGTCTGTGTGTGTATTTCAGTAATTAATGTAAAAATATTTAAAAAAAAGAAGGAAAAAAAAAAACAAAAAAATTGAAAAAACCTAAAAACACAAACAAAGAAAAACATAATGAAAACTAGCGAAATAAATAAAGTGAAAAATATTTGAACAAAAAAAAATTATATTTATGATCAATAAAAATATGAAAGGGAGTGAGAGAAAGTGAGAGCGAGAGTGAGGTAGAGAGAGACAGAGAACTCAGAGAGCTAGAGAAACAGGAAGCAAGAGAGAATGAGAGAAAATTTTGCAATTCAATTGCTTTTCATTCGGTAAGTACATTTCATTCCTAAGGAACGAAAATAGGTTCTACAATGACCAAAACCGATGGAGTTACCTCTCATTCGATGCCGGAGCTAAAGTCCGTCCCCTGTCAATAGAGGACTACATAAGAAAGCTGTAGCTGGACTTGGTGGGATCGAGAGTAAAAATTCAATTTTAATTTTTAATTTTGTAATATTCAATATTTATTGTAAGTTTTATATATAGTATACATATAATAGTTAAGATTATAAAAAAAAAAATGTGCATTTAAAACTAATTCAATGTAGATTCGATAAACTGAATTTTTGATATGGATATATTACTTAATCATTTTTTTTTTTTTGTAATTTTTGAGAAAAATTGTAAAAAATTAAAAAGAATTTGTAATTTTCTTAATTTCATTTTGTGTCATGGAAGTACATGATGTGAGTGTGTGTGGGTGAGTATATATATGTATGTGTGTATATATAGTTAAGGCCTTTAAATTACATGTTTTGTAAGTTTTCTTCTTCTTCATCTTCTTTTTCATTAAAGCTAAAACAGAAAGTTCAAACTAGGGCTGGAAGATGAAACTAAATAGCTAAATAATATATGAAGTAGATCAATACATATGTATATATATATCTGATTTATATTTGTATATATATATATATATGTCCGATCTTTATCGTTAAGTATTCCTTACTTTTCTTTTGTTTCATATTCGTTTTCTTTTTTGTTTTTTTTTTTTTTACCAACACCAAGCGATTGCACAAATAACCCGTTGTTGCTTAAAAAACTATTCAAAAAAAAATGTAATAATATTAATATAATATATTTTATGATATATTTTAAGTGAAACTTATGCTTAAATGAAACTTATGTTTATTAAAAAATTATTCAAGTTTTCAGCTGCATTGCTGTTCACAAACAAAGTGGAATATATAGCTATATGTAGCTATACCTAAATATACACCTCTAGTAATATAGATATATAGCCATATTCATATATATATATATCTATATATACAAGATGCATTCATAAAAATTAGTCGTGTGGCTGACCACAAAAATATTGAACCAAAAAAAATTTGTTGGAATCCAACTCAATGTTTCCTCAAACAGTTTGAAATGAAGTTTAAGACTTAACATTAAAAAATATATATTCATGTAGATGTTAATATTCAGTTTATATAAGTATATATGTGTGCATAAGTATACCTAAATTTGCGAAAATTCTTACTGAAATCGAATATATTTCTTCTGGAAACGACACGCCTATTCGTATTCGTATTCCTATGATCAAACTTCCTTAGTTTTCATGAAGATAGAAATTTTTGTTCAATTTTCCAAATTTCACATGTTGCTCAGTTTGCAACAATATGAATTCAATAAAATATGAATTGATTCAAATTGATAAAAAAAAAAAAGTTAATCTGGACATTCGTTTCAAAATGTTTTTTAAAATATAGCGTTTACAACTAAGTTTTTCTTATCTAACATTAAGGACTCAAGCAACACGACTATTTTCATGATCGCACTCGTATCGGTATGTCTCTATAGCTATACATCTATATATGTGTGTATATATAGGCATAAATTCTTGCTATATATATATATGATATACATACATATATATTATCTGTTGTTCTTGTTCTTTAACTTCAGTACAAATTGGTGGTTTGCTTCAGCTTTGTTTTTAAATAAAAATTATTAAAAATTATAGCTTAAATTATTTAAAAAATATATAAATACATATATATATATAGATATATGTATACATATACACATATTATATATATACACATATATTTATATATATTACATTAGATGTGTTTTGACTTCATTCATGAACAGCTAAATTTAGCTTAGCTTAGCTTACTTTTTAATTTCAACTTAAAAAATTAAACATTTTCGTGTTTTTTTTTTTTTGTTTTTCGTGTGTGTGTGTTTTTTAATGCCTCTTTACAATGAATTTTTGTTGTCTTGTGTTCAAAAATTCTTTTAAAAAATAAATAGAATACAATATTTGTAGATTTCTTAAGTTTAACTTTTCTCTGCTTCTTCACTTATGTAAGTCTATGTATATATATCTATATATATTTGTTTCTTGTAAATAAATGCAGAGTTTTTGCAGCTTGTTCATTTAGCTATCCTCCAAAAAAAAAAAAAAGCTGTCCATGATTAATCGATAAGTTAATCAATGACAATCAATAATTCATTTCCATTTTTCCGTTTCCGTTTTCGTTTCTATTTCTATTTCTCAGAGTTGCTTAAAGCATTTGAAACTTAGTCTAAATCTTAAGAGGCTACAAAAAAAATGTTTTTGTTTGGAAAAAATGAAACTTTTGACTAAGCGCATAAAATTAGTGTTTTTGTTTTTTTTGTTTTTCTAGAGAAAATGTTGCTTAAGATCTATTAAGTTTTCTTGTTCTTCTTCATAATTAACTAAATTAATGTGAAAATTACTTAAGAATTTCTGTTTTGTTTTCTTAACAAATTTTCTTCATTGTTTTAAATGTTCTTTTGCACAGCAAAGTGAAAATTTTGTTTTTCTTTTCGAAACATCTTGAGCTAAACTAAAAATTAAATATTTTTCTTCTTCTTTCCATTACATAACTAGCAGCTAAATGAGAGATATATATATAGATATATACTTGAGTATACATAGACACATATATATATGTGTGTGGGTGATATCATGTTGCATTATAAATGTACAAAACATAATCTCTCCATTTTCGTGGGGCAGTTTTCATAAAACTTCAGCTTAAAGTTGAATTTGCATTACGTTTCTCTGTTTTCAGTTAGTTTAGCTTAGAGTTTAGGTTAAGTTAGATCTAGCTCATTTTGTGTGTATATATATACTATAGTTTAGTTTTGTTTAGGCTTAGTTAGTTTGTTAGTTATGCACCGGCATCGGTAGCTGGCCGAGCAAATTGTTAGCGAACTGCGAATTGGTGAACTTGAAGTGACGCTTGTCGTAGAACTTGAGCAGGGCCGGCGAGAACGGATGATTGTCCTTCAGATGCAGATAGTGGACCTCCGGTTCGCAGGTCGTGTGGCCGCACTCCTCGCAAACGTACATCTGCAATGGCGCGGAAGAAGAGAAGGGCGTTAATTATATCAAGTGTTGCATATATTAAGGCATAGCATAATTAATAGTTCAATTCAGGTTTGGCTAGTTCCATCTGAAACTTGGCTAGACTGACTATTGAGTATTTCGCATTCTGAACTAGTTCCCGAACTGAACTGAACTATTGTTGAGTCATTCGATTATTAGCAGCTCGTTACGAGACTAAGAGCTGAGCTGTTGTTATCCTTTTGATATTTCTTTTTAATGAAACTATTTCCTAGCTAGTTCCTCGTTAATTTCTTTACTATTTTACTACTTTATTCTTTCATTACATGCCCATTTTCAGAACTAGTTCCACATCCCAACTGCTGACGCTTCGATCAACTCGTTCTAGTCATATAAGCTGGGGTTTCAATGAACTTTTGTTTCACCGTTTTTTTTATACGTTCATTTTCTGAGCTAGTTCCGCACCATAGTGGAATTTTGGAATCAGTTTTCTATCTATCAGTTCATGCCTCAGCTATTCGTCATATTAAGTTTTTGATTTGTTTTCTCATTGTTCATTTTATGTTCATTTACGGAACTAGTTCCAAAACTCTATTATTCACTGGAGTCCATTTCTTAATAAACAGTTACATATCTCAACTATTTCAAGTAGTGCCATAGAATTTCTCATAATCTTGTGAACTAGTTCCAAACGACAAATATGCTAGTTCCCGATAATAATTGCCTTAGTTCCGTCAAGCTGTCAATCTGTCTACAATTTCATGAGAAATACCCAAGCACAGAGGATTCGCTGGGTTTCGTCTGTACTCAGTTCGAATCGTGCTCTTACCTTGGCGCGTCGCTCCTTGTAGGCATACTGATGCTGGACACTGTGCACCTTCTGGCAGTGCGACTCGAGGGAGCAGCGCTGCGTGAAGCTCTTCTCGCACAGGTTGCACTTGTAGGGGCGCACGCCCGTGTGGGTGCGCGTATGGCGCTTCAGATCGAAGGTATCGTTGAAGCCCTTGCCGCAGAACGTGCACAGATAGCGCTTGATGTCCGAATGGCATTTCATGTGGCGATTGAGCAGACGCTGCAGCGAGAAGGTCTTCATGCAGACACGGCAGACGAACTTGTTGTTGGCATCCTCGGCGCCGCTGTTGTTGCTGGGGCAGAGCGAGTCGCCTTGATTGCTGCTGTTGCTGCTGACGCTGCTGCTGCTGTTGTTGTTGTTGTTGCGATGATGGCTGCTGTTGCCGTGCTGCTGCTGCTGCTGCTGATTGAGCACCAAGTGTTGTTGCAGCGACTGTTGCTGCGGCGAGTGCTGCTGCTGCTGCTGTGGCGAGTGCTGTTGCAGCAATTGTTGCTGGTGCTGCAGCGACTGCTGTTGCTGCTGCTGCTGTTGTTGCTGCTGCTGCTGCTGCTGGCCATGCTTGAGATCTTCAATGCAATCCATATTGTTGCGTATGCGATGATGATGATGTCCCCCATGCGTATTCTCCACGGCCAGCGGATTCTTGATGCCATGGCCTCCGTTCACGAACTCCAGCTGTAGATCAGGCGGCAGACCCAACTGAAGGAACGGTAAAAAAATAGACATATTTAAGGTGAGTTCTCCAATGGGTTCGATTAGCAACTAAGACATTCATAGACAGCACAGGGCAACAACAAAACATTAAACAATACACAATGGGGACAGGGAACGATCGATGTGTGGGAAATACAAATATATATATAGAATATAATAATATAATAAACCTGAAATAAAGATTTCCGTTTCGTTGGCATTTCGAGAAACTATATGATGATCTATAGATACACTTCAATAGATACAATCAATAGATCTCTTAGAAAGCCCAAACTGATTCGGAGCAATAGAAACATATATCATTTCAGGAATCTCCAAAGGACAACACGGTGGAGAACAGATACAAAGGACAACGAGAAGGCAATGGAAAAGCAAAAATAGGCATGCATTCAAAAAGAGATAGGGAGAGAGAGAGGGGAAGAGGGAGACAGTTACAGCCACAGAGACAGAGACAGAAAGACAAGGACTTTTGGCAAGGACCACATTGAGGCCCCCATCATTTTGGGCCTTGCTTCTCCGGGCCTTACCAGCCGCTGCAGCATCTTGCTCTCATTGATCACCGAAATGGTCGACGACGGCGGCAACAGACCCGCTGCTGTGGCCGCCGCTTCGGTGGCAAGCGAACGCAATGTGGCGCGATGGACCTGCCGCTGGGCGGGCATCTCGGGCGATGGCCTCACTGTCGAGTAGATCGTGACCACAGTGGAGCCATAGCTAGCGGCCTTTGAGCGGCCGCCCAGCTTTGCACTCTTGTTGCCGCTGCCGCTGCTGCCGCCGCTGCTGCTGCTGCTGCTGCTGCTGTTGCCATTGACATTGACATTGACATTGTAGTTGTTGTTCGTTTTGATGCTTAAATTGTAAGTGCTTTTGTTGCTTGTGCTTGTGGTGGTTGTGGTGGTTGTGGTGGTGCTGCTGCTGATGTTGGTAATGTTGTTGCTGTTGGCAGTGGTGTTGTTGTTGTTGTTGTTGCTGTTGTTGTAGCTAAAATAGTTGCTGCTGTTAAGCAGCATATAGGTCACCGGCTCAGCTGGTGACTCAGTAGTGTTGTTGTTGTTGCTGTTGCTGCTGCTGTTGTTGTTGCTGTTGAGCTTTATAATATTGTTGGAACTTACGCTTTGTATCAGCGGCTTGGTGTCGAGCAATGCGGCCGCAGCAACCGCCGCCGTGTTGGCATCGAGCAGATTGGAGCTGCTGCTGCTGCTGCTGGACATGGGACGGAGTGCGGCAACAGCAGCAGCTGCTGCTGCTGCGGCCGCCGCAGCTGTTGTTGGCGATGGCAGCGATAGGTTGCTGTTGTCGTTGTGATGATGATGTTGCTGCTGCAGTTGATGCTGCTGCTGCTGTTGCTGATGGGAATGTTGCTGCTGCTGCTGCTGTTGGTGTGAGTGCTGCTGATGTTGCTGGTGTGCGTGATGAGCATGATGCTGTTGCTGCTGATGGAAATGATGCTGCTGTTGTTGCTGCTGCTGTTGCTGTTGGGCATGATGATGCTGCTGCTGGGCATACATATTGTGTTGCTGATGGAAATGTTGCTGCTGCTGCTGCTGCTGATGGTGTGGGTGATGTTGTTGTTGCTGCTGCTGCAGCAATTGCTGTTGCTGCTGGGCCAGCTGCTGCTGATGGTAGCTGTTGCCGTTGCTGTTGTTGTTGCCAGTGTGTTGCTGCTGCATCTGCAACAAGTTGCGCGTGGCATGCTGATACGAGGGCGGCGGCTGCTGCAAATGTTGCTGCTGCTGCTGTTGCTGCCCGTTGACAACATGTTGCTGCAAATGCTGCTGGGCAACATGTTGCGGCCCATTATAAACATTGTTGCCGCCGCCGCCTCCATTGTTGTTGCTGTTGTTGTTGCCGTTGCCGTTGCGCGTCATATTGTTGGTGAGCTGCGTCAACAGATTCTCGTGCAGCGCATCCAGTTGGGCAGCAGCATGCGGCGTCACCGAGACCGCATCCGAGTCGGGCGTCAACGATGGCGTCGACACCAGCTCAAAGTCCGCCCGCTGATGGTGGGCGGGGCTGTTGTTGTTCGTCGAGTGCTCATCGTCGTCGTCGACGTCGACGCAGCCGCGCTGCAAAAACGAACTGAGATCCACAGCATCCGACAGCTGCTCCAGCAAATGATCCGTCTGCGAGCTGAGCATCAGCGTAGCGGTAAATTGCAACGGATCAACGCCGCCGCTGCCGCCGCCGCCATTTGTGCACTGGCCGCCGCCGCTGCCGACGCCGACGCCGCCGCCAGCGCCGCTGCCAGCCAAATCGTTCATAATCGCATCCTCATATGCGCTCGCCGCAAAACTATTGCCCGACGCAGCCGCAGCGGCGGCCGCAGCAGCAGCCGCTGCCGCCGCGCTGCCAACGCCGCTGTTCATGGTCGCCTGTATGATATTCTGGGCAAAGGTTCCAATGTCGATCTTCGCCTCGTCGTACTCAATGTCGGGCTCATCTTTCAATATGATGCCATAAGCTGAAGGATTACCGCCATAGAAGGGATGTCCGTTGCCAATCGATCCAGCGGAATGCAAATGATGGAATTTGGAATTGGAATTGGAATTAGAATTGATATCATTATAATTGCTGTGGCCCAGATTGTTGGCAAAGTTCAAAATGTTATTACCATCAAGACCAACAGCGCCGGCTCCACCAGCTCCACCTCCACCAGTTCCTCCACCACCGGTACCGCCACCGCTGCCATCGGCTCCTCCACCTCCTCCTCCGCCAGCTCCATTACAGTTATACTGTTGATTCGACATTAGATAAGCTGCCGCAGCTGCGTTCTGTATAAGAAATTGCGAATTGCTGTGCGCGTCAACAGCGACGCCGATGCCGCTGCCACTGCCACTGCCGCTGCCGCTGCTCTGGCCGCTCTTCAGGCTCTCGTAAAATGGCGGCAATGCGCCGCTGGGCGGTGAGTTGGGTCCGTAGTTGCCGCGTCCGTCACGGCCGCCGCCCATGCCACCGCCGCCGGCGCCGCTGCCAAAGCTACCGCTGCCGCCGCTGCCGGCACCACTGCCAGCACCGCTGCCGCCGCCGCTGCTGCTACCGCCGCCTCCGCTGCCGCCGCCGCCCTGGCTAAAGCCGTTGCTCGCTTGGAATCCCTGGCTACTGTTGCTGCTGCGTCCGTGTCCAGCGGCCGCTGCCAAAATGCCCGGCAGACTGCGCACCAAGCGCGGATTCAGTTGCAGCACACGCGCTGCCAAATAGCTGCTGCGACGCCGGGCTTCGCGTACGCGTCGTGCACGCTGCAAGCGACGCGCGTTCAACTCGTCGTCGCTGTCGTAGCTGGCGCTGCGCTGCCGCGGCACGTGATAATCGATCGGCTCCTGCTGCTCGGGTCCCAACTGCTCGAGGTCGAGCGTGCGCTGGTATAACAGTTGTTGCTGCTGCTGCTGTTGCAGTTCCCTCTGCTGTTGTTTGTATAACAGTTCGCTACTGCTGCTGTTGCTTTCGCTGCTCTGCGGCGCTCGCTGTATGACGCTGCAGCGAACGGCGGGTATGCGCGGTGGCGGCGGACTCGGTCGCTGCTCTGCTGTGGGCGGGCTGCTGCGCATGCGCAGCGACAACGGCTGTTCAATTGGTAGCAATGGCTTCTCGTCCACAATCAACTTGCAACCGTCATCAGAGTCACTGTCATCAGAATCGCCGCTGCTGCTGTTACCGTTGCTGTTGCTGTTGCTATTGTTGCCGCTGTCAACGTCAACGTTAGCGTCAGCGACAGAATTAGCGTTTAGCACTTTCTCTTTGCTGAGACGTTCGTGTGGATATTCTTTGCGCTGGGCTTGCGTTAGAACAACGCCAGCGCCGTAATAACGCGGCTTGGGCGCCTCAAGGCCAACGTCGACGTCAACGTCAACGTTTGCGTCGCCGTCAGCTTCGTCTTCGTCAGCGTCGCTGCTGCTGTTGCTGCTAGCGTGCGACGCACTGTTCTGCTTTGGGCTCTGTTCGTTTTCTTTTGGTATGCTGCTTGCTGTTGGTGTTGTTGTAGCTTTTGTTGCTTCTGTTTCTGTTTCGGGCTCACCTTCTAGCTCTACTACTAATTCTCCTTCGGCTTCTGTCTCTATTCCTGCTTCTCCTACTTCTCCTACTTTTGCTGTTAACGAATTCTCGTCGCAGTCTTTTGTGGCTGTTGCGGGTGGTGTTGCTGTTCTGCTAAGGTTAATGCTAATGTTAAGTTTGCTGTTGTTGTTGTTGGTTGTTGTATTGGTTGTGGTTGTAGTGGTGGTGGTGGTGGTGGTGTTGTTGGTGTTTGAGGTTTCAGCTGTGGAGCAGTTGCTGTTGCTGTTGCAGCTAAGACGCTGCAACAGTTCTGCTGGCGTTAAACAACCGTTACTTTCTGCAAATAGAGAGAGAACAAAAGATAGATATTAGTGAAAAGCGCAACAACAAAAAATATGCACAAGCACATGCGCATATAAGGCTACACATGTAAATATATTTATGTATGTCTGTATGTTTGTATGTAAGCACTGATGCGCGCATAAGTTTTACATTCTTGCAAAGCAAAAGTTAACGGCACTTGCCCGAAAGCGAAAAACGCAAGAGCACGAAGATTAATCCGAAACTTTAATAGAATGTAATAACAACGAAATTAAAGCCCGTAACCGAAAACTAAATCGATGCCCGAACACGAGCGAGAAGAATTAACCGTGCATTCGCCACAACGATCAACTGCTAACTGTAAGCGCATCATAGCCTTCTTATTCCTGCACACACTTTTTGACACACGCACACAAGTACATTGCAGGCAAGAAGACGCAACAAGACGCAACAAAAAAGTGTTTTGTCGCGGCGATCTCCTAAATACAGTGAGCACACGCAAATGAAAGTTTCATAAAAAAATGTTAAGACAAATGCTTATTTTTCAATACTCAGCTCAAATAGAAAATAAAGGGTGCACCAATTATCTTCAATAAGTAGAGTGTCATTTGAATAATTTTGTATTTATTAATTTATAACAATAATCATTGCATATTCCTTAAGCGAACTGTTACTAGAAATTTCTGTTGTCGCTTCTATTTGTCTTCACTGTATCAATTCGTCCAAATTTTCTGCGAGTGCGCGTGTGTGTGTGCCTCTGTGTGGTGCTCATGTATGTATGTATGTATGTATATTTTGTATATTGCTTAATTTCTATTTCGCCAAGAACAAATCATAACTGTAAAACAGTTGCCAGTGCGAAAATCGCGACTTAAGAACGTTTTAAAAACTAGACACAAAGCCGTCGCCAGAGAAGGGGCCAACGAATGTGCACAATCAAGAATTTTTATTTGAATAAATCTTTACAATTTAGTACCTTATAAAATAGGCTATTCGTTATAGCATTTAAATTTATTTATTATATTGTATACAATTATTATATGTAGTACATATATTATGGCATTTAAATAAAACTCACAATTTTTTTTTGAATACATACATGTGTATGTATATACATAGGTACATACATATACTATTATTTACGTCAGTAAAAACTACGTACTCATACATACGACTAATATGAGCAAGTTTCTCTCCTCCCCCTATTGAACTTATGTAAATAAAATCCTGGCAACGTCTTTGGTCGCATGTGCGCATTGTCAGCCATTTGCATGCGCATATTAGTGTATAAATCTACGCATGTGTGCACATATGTATGTGTGCGTGGGATCATTTTCGTCTTTGCGCCTCCTCTTTCTTTTCAGAAAATATCAGTACGGAAAGGCAAGTACGCAGCTAAGCAATGCGTATAAGCATTAGAGTTGAAAATATAGAAATTGAATATATTGTACATACATATGTATTTATATATGTATGTATTTACGTACATTGTATATATGTACATGTATATCATACATATTTACGTCATATTTGATCATTAATGTGTTTTATTTTCTTCTTTTTTTTCGTGTGAATTAAATGTGAAGAGCAAGTGCAAGTGCGAGGCGCCGCTGCAGTCGCCTTCGGCGTCGAAGCGCCGTCAAACCAGGCAAAGACAAGGTTGGCAAACAGCAACAAAATAAAAACTTGTCTTGGCTGTAAATCAAATCAAATCAAGTGCAATTAATAATAGAAACAACAATTACAACAACAACAACTATTCCTATTGCAATGGCAATCAAGTTGGCGTCAACGTCGCTGCCTTTGCTGTTGGCGGCCGTCGATTATATGTTTGTTTCTTGAGTGTGTATGTGTGTGAGTTTGCCTGTTACGTTCATGCGATCAAGATCAAGGCTTTTTGCAATTGCTTTTAATATGTGTTTGTGTGTACTGCAGCGGCATTTGTCAATGAACAAGTTTTGTATGCGTAGGTGTTGTTGCTGTAAAGCCCTTCATAAATACATAAATATGTACATACATACATACATACGCACACATTTACTGGCATGCAAAGCGCACGGTACCCATAATTACACACACATGGCACTGTCAAATGTGTGAATGTGTGCGTGTGTGTTGTGTTTAAAATTTCAAATGACCAACACGCACACAGCTGCGTTATCTTTTCTGCATAGCGCTGTCAGCTCTTTAGCTGAAACTGCCAGTTCTAGAGTAAAAAAGCTAAATTCTGCATAACAAGTTAAAAGATGACGAATCTCATTAAATAAAATAAACTGATAGCTTTTAAAATATTTTAAAAAGAGATAAGATAATAAGGCCAAGCTTATCTAAATGGCGGCTAATATTCTTGAGGAATGAAATAGAAGTTGATAGCTTAAAAGTATCAAAAATGGCTAAAAAGGCAAAACGAAGCTAAATAGCGATCAGCACTGTTGTTGCTTAACTCAAATTCTAACTGTCGCCTGACGCTTAACAGCGTGATGCAGAGTTAACAGCTAGTGTAGCCTTGAGCGTGTGCACAGCCGTTTAACATTTCGACGTTCAAATTGCTTAACATAATTGATTACTTCAATTGCTTTGGCACATTTAAACGCAAATTTCGTTATGGTTATGCATGCATATGTATATATTTAATTTTCATTTAAATTCACTTAAAATGTTGTCTTTGCCATAATAACAGCACAAGCCACGCCCAGCAGCTGCCCACAAGCAAAAACAAACACAGGCACGCACACACACACACTCGTGTATATTCTGTTAAGTTAACACGCCTGCAATTTAACATGATCAACTGTATAACGAGCTGTTAAATGGCTTGGCTATGCCTTACCAGTTTTCCAGCTTTCCAGTTTCAGTTGTTGTTGTTGTAATTGTCGTAATTAGTTTTTATTGTGTTAAGGTCAAGGCAAAATGCTTCAAAATGTTTTATAATTACAAATGCAAAAAAAAAAAAAGAAAAGTGTTTGAGGAAATGAAATAATTCAATTCAATTTAAAGTGTAATAAATAAAATATTTTTGTAAGTGTAATTAATGAAAGAATTATTTAAAAAAATGTATTTTAAGTGTAAATAATGAAATATTTTTTGTTATATTTTTTTTTGAGTGCAACAACGTAATTATTGAAGGACGGAAATACATATAACAGAGCTGCAGGTAAAATCTTCGTATTTCTTTAGCTTCTCTTCATTTGCTCTATTTTATATCTACATACATATACAACAAGTTCAATGCACGTTTTATCCTGTAGATTAATTGATTTCTTATTCTTTTTTTTTTTATTTTTATTTATTTCTATTTATTCTATTTACTTGTTGACTGCGTGTGCTTGAACTTTTAAGATATTCTGTTATCTGTTTTTTGTTTTTGTTTTGTTTCATTTTTTCGCTTTTCGCTTCACTTTGGTCTAGCGCAAAATGCGTCTTAACGAAACATCACACGCACACACACACGCACTCACACACGCAAGCGATAGCATTTGCGTGTGTGCGTATGTTAATGTGCATAACAAAGCGTCGCAGTTGTTGCCCAGAATTTGTAATACTTTTTTATTTTATTTTATTTGTATTTTTTTTGTATTCTGCGTCTTTTGTTGTTTATTTTACTCGTTGGCTTGGGTTTGCTTCATGCAGCTGTTAATGTTAAGCACCTTCTTTTAACAGAGCTTTTTACATTGCAATGCAAATGAATTAGCAATGAGCCATGTTAGCATATACTGTTAATGTTACTGCTGCACTTGGAATGCAATTCTAAAGAATTGCAATATAACATAATACAATATTATAACAGCATAACAATTACCAACTAGAAATGTGTAAATATTTAGTTACATATGTACGTATATATCAGCATGATAGAACAGTTCAACAGCAGCATACGAATCTGCTAGTATAACAGTATGCAAATAGAACTGCATGGCAGTATAACTACATAGCAGTATATCAGTTTCAGAGTTTATACCAGTAAAACAGCCAAGTATTCGATTAGTATAACAGAATTGAAATGTATAACATTATTGCCGTAGCACAGTTCCGACTTGAGTCGCCTGGCTTTTGCTGCTATTCTATAGCTATGCGGGTGTTGTTTTGCTTCTTCTTTCACCGTTTCTTATAGACTTTTTATTTGATTATTTTTGTTATGTAATTTACGCACGGCCCACGCGCAACAGCTACGCAACAGCTCGCCAACTGTTGCGTGTGTGTGTGTGTGAGAGAGACCACGGAAAAAGCCAGCATTGAGACGTTTTTTTTTTTCTGAGATGAGATTTTGTTCGATGTTGTTGTTGTTGACTACAATTGTTACTGTTATTGTTATTGTTGTAGTTGTTGTTGCTGTTGCTGTTATGTTAAAGCGAATTCCAAACGCATTCTATGGCTAACTTACATGTTGAATTCCCGGCATGCACGACGAATGACGACACACCTCTATGCGTCCCATCTATCAACCTAAAAGCCTAGCCCAAGCATAGCACACAAATCTTCTCATTGTTGTTGTTGCTGTTGTTGTTGTTGTTGTTGTTGTTCTGTGTCTGCCATTGCAAATGCGAAACACGTCGCCCAGCGGCTCTACCCATATATAAACTACACACACACACACATGTGAATAGACAAGCATTGTAGGCAAATAACATGAGCAGCTTCACCAAGGGTCGACTCAACCAAAAAAGGGTTAAAAGCATCTATTGAACAGAGTTCATGTACATCTGTCTAACAATTGATTGCCCTAAAAGTGCACGAAGACTGTGCTGTTTATTAAATATTTCAAGATTTTACATACTCAAAGTTCATACTTATGTTATAGCTTTCCAGTTATAATGGGCTGTACGACAATTATGGATAGTTTTTCTGTAGCTTTCAATAAAATGAAACAATTTTTTTTCATTTTTGCTCTCAGTTAATATGGTATGGATATGATTATGGCTATATCCATGTATATATCTCAGTTAGGAATATGGTATATCATTTTCTTGCTCTATATCTGCAATTGTCATCTATTCCAAATGCGTTTTGAGCAATTCAATGTTTCGCTACAGAGCTGAAATCTGCTTTACATTTGAGTTGAGAAATAGCTAACAATTTAGTTAGCTTTTAGATGGTTCAGTACATTAAATAATTGCACATCTTTTATATAATCCGTAAACTTAACCCTGAAACCAGAGAAAAAAAAGCACGCGTTGACATCTTGAAAACAAAAATTAGCTAAAACAAAAACCACCCACTTGTCCAGTTATTTAATAGAGCATGAAAAGCACGCAACGCTTGACAGTCAAGCGAAAGAGTGGGAGAGAGAGAGGGCGAGAGGGTGGTGAGACAGAATTATTGTTGACTAAATTGAATTTGATTAAATGCTTACAAACTAATAGTTCAAGCTTTGGCTACGGAAGATATGATGAGCTGAACTGAACTGTTAACTTAACAGCAACATAGAGTTAACAGCAAAATAAGATATAACCAACAATAGGGGCAAAACTTCTTGCAGTTGAAGTAATTTTAACACATATATAACAGAGTATTGGCACATGCGCCAACTGTTATAGAAATATGTTAGCTAACTGTTGTCGTTGAGGCTGTTATGTTATGTTATATTATG